CCTGAGCCTAGCAGGATTGTAAGCCCCCCACTCCCACACCCTGACCCAGACTGGGTTCATTTGGTTGAATTAAAGGGCTTCTCTGGAGAAATCATTGCCCTCATTTTCATAAAGTCACCAGGGAAGCAGTAGGCTGCCTGAGAGGGACAGTCCCAGGAGCTGGTCCAGGGGCGCCCTGGGCCAGGCTCCTGTGTGCACAAAATTAGATTGATATGGCATCTCCAGAAACCCCTCAGTCCTAAGTTTTTTTTAAAAAAACAACCCTCCAATCACCCAAGGCCACACTGACCCCACCCTAGGTGGAGCCCTAGCCCCCGCCCCCCATCTCCGCTTGCTGAGATCCAAGCCAGAGACTGCCCCGGGCCAGTTCCACTGAAGTCTCTGAATAATGCACTCGTGTCTGGGCTGTTTTGTTTTGATCAAAATCTGTTGCTTGGGCTTCAGACCAAGGAGAGGGGGAGGAATTGGCTACTTTCTCTGGGTGGTGGCCGGCCCTCCTCCTCAGCCCCGCCTTCCAGGTCTGCAGGGAAGGTGGGGGGGGGGCCTCCTCCCAGCCCTTTCTCTGGTCCCTCTTCCGGTCCTTGATGGTTTCCTATTCCTCAGCTGGGGTTTCCTTCAGATCCCAGGCCCTGGGAAGGAAATGAAGTCAGCCATTGAGAATGTGATGCACTGATAGCGGACCCCAGGGGCTTGTCTGAAGCTAGTCCAGCCGGTGGCTCCTCCCCCTGCAGTCCAGCCAGTGGCTCCTCCCCCAGCTCTGCTCCCTGGACTCACAGAGCCCCCTATAGGCTCTGACTGGAACTGCATTTTGAAGATGAGCCTGGCTCCAGGGGCTGCTCTGGGCAGCTTTTTATCAGAAATTCTTTCTTCTTGAGCCCTGCCCAGTGGCCCCAGCCTGGACCATTTTTGGAAGGTTGGGCGAATCCAGGACGGAGTTGAGGGAGGGAGTGTAGCAGTGGGGAGAGCCCTGGGGTGGGAGTCCGGAGACTTGGAACCCACTTCCTTCTTGGCTAATTCACCCGGTCCAGTGATGTGGCCCCTGTTGACATCAGCGTTCTCACGTGCTTAGTGGGTGTATTGGGCTGAGTGGTCCTTAAGGTCCCCTCCAGTTGGGGTAACCGTGCATCTCCAGAAACCCCTCAGTCCCAGGCAATCCCGTTTGGTCCGGCCCCCTCCTTCCAGCCCTAGTGAATAGGGGAGCCCTGATGTCACCCAGGTGGTGAATTCAAATGTGACTTTCAGCACGCGTGGTTCTGGAAGCCTACCTGATCCCTCTGAGCCCGTTTCCTCACCTGTAAAGTGGGAATAATAATCAAGCTTGTCTCCTGGGATGGGTGCGAGGATAGAACAAATTGCATTTTACTAAGTGCTCAGAGGCCAGTCTGTGACAGCACATTGTGAGTGAGTGGTGCTGTTTTCGTGGGAAGGAAAGCGCTGTAGGAAACAGAAAGATCTGGCTTCAGCCTGTTTCTGCTACCGGCTGGCATGTGACTTTGGACAAGTCAGTTTTGCTTTCTGAGCTGCAATTTCCTCATCTGTAAAATGGGAGCAATAGCATCAATCATTCCGAGTTGCCGACATTATGTGAATCTCCTCATGCAAAGGAGAGGTTCAAGAAACGAGCTATTGAATGAAAAACGTACAAGATGGGACTTGGGCGGAAATTGCCTTGAGTCTCCATTGATGATGAAGCCTGGGCTCTTAAAAACATACATTTTAAAGTGTGGAAAGAGCATGTGAAAACATTCTGCATTTTAAAAGAGTTCAACTCCGTGGGTAAGGCGCGTGGGAGTCCCCTTTGCCACTACCTCTGTCTCCTTAGGAACACACCCACTGGGGCAGCACCCTGTCTCCCCCGCCCCCGTCCTGGCCCTGGAGCCTGGCTCCCGCTCAGTCCCGCCCTCCTTGTCCCCCCCCAGGCGGGAGACCTTTGACTTCGACGATGACTGCGACAGCCTGACGTGGGAGGAGAATGAAGACACACTGCTGCTCTGGGAGGACTTCACCAACTGCAACCCAAGTATCGACCTGCAGGGCGAGGTGAGTGGGGCCAGGCTTCCCAGGGGCTGGGAGATGGGGACCAGGGGCACCTCCTTTCAATGATCCCTCCTCCCCATCCTTTCCCTGTAGCTCCCCACCTCTCTCCACCCCCCCAGCTAAACACTCCCCTTTGATCTGTTTCCCCAGCAAGAGGAAAACTTGGGCAACTTGATCCATGAGACAGAATCCTTCTTCAAGACGAGAGACAAGGAGTACCAGGAAACGATAGGCCAGATCGAGGTGAGGGCTCAGCCTGTGAGCCTCCGCGTCGAGACCCCTGGTGACTAAGTTGCTACCTAGGCAGGGGCTGGTAGCCTGGGGTGGCCACAGGCTCTGGAGTCAGGAGGCCTACCGGTTCCCTGCTTGGTGCTGGGAAAGCCATACCCCTCGTAGGGCCTCAGTTTCCTAACCTGTGAAATGGGAGTAGTGATCTCTGTCTGCCCCAGGGAGGTTTTATTTAAGCTATTCAACTGAGATGGTGGTCCCAAAATAATGAGAGCTGACATTTGAGTGACATCAAGGGACACTAGGCACCGAGTGAGCCCATGACAAGGACACCGGTCCTAGTCTCCGCACACCCTCGTATGGACCTGCAGGTACCCAGGTACCCTATGCAGTAGGTACTGGGCATCCTGTGTTACAGAGGAGGACGTGAGGCTAACAGAGACCAGTGACTTGGCCAAGGCCCCCAGCCTGCACACAGCCTTGGAGCCCCGCCCTCTGTGCCTGAGAGCCTGCACATGGCCATGTCTGCCAGTGAGGTCACTGCTGTTGCCATGCTGGAGAAAGAGGGGCCCCTGTCCGGGGGGATGTCTCCTTTGGTGGAGGAGAGGAGTAGAAATGTGAAGACTTGAGGACTTTTCTAATCAAGGCCACAGAAACGAGCGGAGAGGTGCAGGGTAGAGTTGGTAGAACCAGGTGGGCTCGTCAGGGAAGGCTGCCCTGTGGTTGCTAAGCAACCATTCCCCTTCGTCCAGAAGCCCTTCTCAAGGCCATGGGGACGGGTATCCAGAGAACAGAGGCCGAGGCATGGTCCTGCGGGCGTGGTGTCCAGGGGTGGTCTGGAGGCCGCCACCACCCAGGCGGTGGGGGGCATTGCTGAGAGTTTTGCTGTGGGGATGACTTGGCCTCGCCTTACCCCACGTTGGCTCCCCTCAGCTGGAGCTGGCCACAGCCAAGAGCGACATGAACCGACACTTGCATGAATACATGGAGATGTGCAGCATGAAGCGTGGCCTGGACGTGCAGATGGAGACCTGCCGCCGGCTCATCAAAGGCT